AGGGCGAGATACAACACCTTGCATGCCTGCCAACTTCCCATGACTCGATGACCACCTCGGAAAATCACAATCGAACACACTAATCCTGTCCCGATACACCCTCAGAATATGGCAAGCACCATGTGCTGTCAGTGGTATAGATGTCCAACCACAGTCAGACAGCAGTGCAAGGACTCTGTTGGATGCTGTTTACGCACGTCAGGGCGAGATACAACACCTTGCATGCCTGCCAACTTCCCATGACTCGATGACCGCCTCGGAAAATCAAAAAAAATAGAACACACTACTCCTGTCCCGATACACCCTCAGAATATGGCAAGCACCATGTGCTGTCAGTGGTATAGATGTCCACCCACAGTCAGACAGCAGTGCAAAGGACTCTGTTGGATGCTGTTTACGCACGTCAGGGCGGGATACAACACCTTGCATGCCTGCCAACTTCCCATGACTCCATGACCGCCTGCAAAACTAAACAAAAGCAATCACGCATATACTGTTCTGATACACCCTCAGTATTTTGTAAGCACGGTGTGCTGACAGTTGTATAGAGGTCCAACATGGTCCAACCACTGTCAGACAGCAGTGCAAGGGACTCTGTTGGATGCTGTTTACGCACGTCAGGGCGAGATACAACACCTTGCATGCCTGCCAACTTCCAATGACTCGATGACCGCCTCGGAAAATCACAATCGAACACACTAGTCCTGTCCTGATACACCGTCGGACTATGGCAAGAACGGTGTGGTGCCAGTGGTATAGAGGTCCAACATGGTCCAACCACTGTCAGACAGCAGTGCAAGGGACTCTGTTGGATGCTGTTTACGCACGTCAGGGCGAGATACAACACCTTGCATGCCTGCCAACTTCCCATGACTCGATGACCGCCTCGGAAAATCACAATCGAACACACTAGTCCTGTCCTGATACACCGTCGGACTATGGCAAGAACGGTGTGCTGTCAGTGGTATAGACATCCAACCACCGTCAAACAGCAGTGCAAGGGCAAGGGACTATGCTGGATGCTGTTTACGCACGTCAGGGCGAGATACAACACCTTGAATGCCTGCCAACTTCCTATGACTCCATGACCGCCTGCAAAACTCAACAAAAGCAATCACGCATATCCTGTTCTGATACACCCTCAGAATATGGCAAGCACGGTGTGCTGACAGTGGTATAGAGGTCCAACCACTGTCAGACAGCAGTGCAAAGAACTCTGTTGGATGCTGTTCACGCACGTCAGGGTGAGATACAACACCTTGCATGCCTGCCAACTTCCCATGACTCGATGACCGCCTCGGAAAATCACAATCGAACACACTAATCCTGTCCCGATACACCCTCAGAATATGGCAAGCACCATGTGCTGTCAGTGGTATAGATGTCCAACCACAGTCAGACAGCAGTGCAAGGACTCTGTTGGATGCTGTTTACGCACGTCAGGGCGAGATACAACACCTTGCATGCCTGCCAACTTCCCATGACTCGATGACCGCCTGCAAAACTCAACAAAAGCAATCACGCATATCCTGTTCTGATACACCCTGAGAATATGGCAAGCACGGTGTGCTGACAGTGGTATAGAGGTCCAACCACTGTCAGACAGCAGTGCAAAGGACTCTGTTGGATGCTGTTTACGCACGTCAGGGCGAGATACAACACCTTGCATGCCTGCCAACTTCCCATGACTCGATGACCGCCTCGGAAAATCACAATCAAACACTCTCATCCTGTCCTGATACACCGTCAGATTATGGCAAGCACGGTGTGCTGTCAGTGGTATAGATGTCCAACCACTGTCAGACAGCAGTGCAAGGAACTCTGTTGGATGCTGTTTACGCACGTCAGGGCGAGATACAACACCTTGCATGCCTGCCAACTTCCCATGACTCGATGACCACCTCGGAAAATCACAATCGAACACACTAATCCTGTCCCGATACACCCTCAGAATATGGCAAGCACCATGTGCTGTCAGTGGTATAGACGTCCAACCACCGTCAGACAGCAGTGCAAGGCCAAGGGACTCTGCTGGATGCTGTTTACGCACGTCAGGGCGAGACACAACACCTTGAATTTTTTGCCAACTTCCCATGACTCGCTGACCGCCTGCAAAACTCAACAAAAGCAATCACGCACAAACTATTCTGATACACCCTCAGTATTTTGCAAGCACGGTGTGCTGACAGTGGTATAGAGGTCCAACCACTGTCAAACAGCAGTGCAAGGGACTCTGTTGGATGCTGTTTACGCACGTCAGGGCGAGATACAACACCTTGCATGCCTGCCAACTTCCCATGACTCGATGACTGCCTCAGACAATCACAATCAAAAAGACACATTTGTCCTGATACAGCCAGAGAATATGGCAAGCACGGTGTGTAGAGGTCCAACCACTGTCAAACAGCAGCGCAAGGGACTCTGTTGAATGCAATTTACGCGCGTCAGGGCGAGATACAACACCTTGTGCCAACTTCCGATGACTCGATGACCGTCTTGAAAATTAATCACAATCGAACACACTAATCCTGTCCTGATGCACCCTTAGAATATGGCAAGCACCATGTGCTGTCAGTGGTATAGATGTCCAACCACAGTCAAACAGCAGTGCAAGGACTCTGTTGGATGCTGTTTACGCACGTCAGGGCGAGATACAACACCTTGCATGCCTGCCAACTTCCCATGACTCGATGACCGCCTCGGAAAATCACAATCACACACTAATCCTGTCCCGATACACCCTCAGAATATGGCAAGCACGGTGTGGTGCCAGTGGTATAGGGGGGTCCAACCACAGTCAGACAGCAGTGCAAGGGACTCTGTTGGATGCTGTTTACGCACGTCAGGGCGAGATACAACACCTTGCATGCCTGCCAACTTCCCATGACTCGATGACCGCCTCGGAAAATCACAATCACACACTAATCCTGTCCCGATACACCGTCAGAATATGGCAAGCACGGTGTGGTGCCAGTGGTATAGGGGTCCAACCACTGTCAGACAGCAGTGCAAGGGACTCTGTTGGATGCTGTTTACGCACGTCAGGGCGAGATACAACACCTTGCATGCCTGCCAACTTCCCATGACTCGATGACCGCCTCGGAAAATCACAATCAAACACTCTCATCCTGTCCCGATACACCGTCAGAATATGGCAAGCACGGTGTGGTGCCAGTGGTATAGGGGTCCAACCACTGTCAGACAGCAGTGCAAGGGACTCTGTTGGATGCTGTTTACGCACGTCAGGGCGAGATACAACACCTTGCATGCCTGCCAACTTCCCATGACTCGATGACCGCCTCGGAAAATCAAAAAAAATAGAACACACTACTCCTGTCCCGATACACCCTCAGAATATGGCAAGCACGGTGTGCCGTCAGTGGTATAGATGTCCAACCACAGTCAGACAGCAGTGCAAGGGACTCTGTTGGATGCTGTTTACGCACGTCAGGGCGAGATACAACACCTTGCATGCCTGCCAACTTAACATGACTCGATGACCGCCTCGGAAAATCCTCGAACACACTGATCCTGTCCTGATACACCCTCAGAATATGGCAAGCACAGTGTGCTGACAGTGGTATATAGAGGTCCAACCATTGTCAAACAGCAGCGCAAGGGACTCTGTTGGATGCTGTTTACCAACGTCAGGGCGAGATACAACACCTTGCATGCCTGCCAACTTCCCATGACTCGATGACCGGCTCAGAAAATCAACAAAATCGAGCACACGGGTGCTGTCCTGCTGTCCTCATACTACCCTCACTTCTCGCCATGCTACTACAAAGGCCTTTACAAGGTGATGCTACAGTATCTTGCGTATGTGCACCAAAGCACCGACTCGGGAAGGTTTAGAGGCACGAAAGAACGTCTTCTCCTGATCTTTGGACAGCAGGCACGGGTTCCAGGCTTAGCCAACCTGGGCAAAAAAATGTTGAACCCAAACTCAAAGAAGTACTCCAGGTCTTGCAACAACAAAGAGGGGCACCCCAAACAAGGTTGCAGGTTGCAGTGAAACTCTGAACGTTGGTCCCGACCTTCAACTCTACAAATCCTTCTCGAGCCCTTGAATAAGAAAGATGTACCCGTGGTACGTGTGGTACGTGTGGTATACCTTTCTGCGAGTTGTGTTTCTTTTCTCCCTGCCGGCACGCGACATGCTATGTACAGGGCCGTCTTGACCCAATCGCGGCCTGCGCAGGGCCTCAATAGAACCTCGGAAGCAGGATGGACTTAAAACGCAAAACACAGGCGGCTGGGTGCGTTTTGTGGGTACCCTTTCTAGGTCGGTCTAAAGGGGGAACCAAAAGGAAAGCCAACACTTGTTGGGTGCCCCTATTTGGACACATACTCAGGTGGTGATGGAGAAAGCGCTACACTCTGTTTTCGAATCTTGGAACAAGCAACGAATTTGATCAATTGGCAATAGGACAATCGTATGAACCAGCGCAGTGTTGCCTGCAAGCGCTACACAATTCAAGATCCCCCAAAGTTGGGGCGGGATCACGGTGCTTCGGAACCCGTTTCTTGGGACTGTGTTAAAGGAGCCTGAAAAAATGTCGAGCCGGGAGTTTGGCACATTCCCAATCAATTAGCAGTGAGTCGAACAGTTGGCTTCACGCTAGTCTCAGTGGAACCTGAAGCAAAGCAAGGTCCGGGAAATATAACCACGTTGGCAAATGCTGGACATGTATTTTGTGCCTTGTCTAAGAGATCTTGACTGGCTATCGAATGCTCCCTCAAATTCAGCCATCAACAATGACATATATCTCAAGCCCTTGACAGGCAACACAATCTTAACACACAGACACACCATTCACCCAAGCCTTAAGATTAAACGACTCCTTGCAACATCCTTGGGTTCCTTAAGTCATGGGGGCTGGGGGGGAGGGACCAAATAAGCCCTTAGCCTTATTACCGGCTTAGTGGCTCCCTCCCCCCCTCCCTCCCCCCCCAGCCCCCAGCATTAGGGCTCCCTAGATTTTGACACCGGCCTCGTTTCACAGGTTCAGCATCCGCAGCCGGAAGCTCAGCAGCTCCTGGCGTCAAGTTTGCCCATGACCCAAACGAGTTGAACACCGACCAAACAAACAGTCCACGTATGTGTGGGGGAGAAACATCTGGCCTCTGGGAAGCAGAGCATTTACTGGAAAGATAAGGGACCTGGGCCGGCATCATAGCTGCTCCCCCCCCAATTTCATTTTACCAGTTTGTTCCAGTGTGGTCTTGTCAAGCCTGCCTAGCATGCAAACAACCCCTAAAGTCAACAATGATGGCCTGAGCAAGCACCACCAATTAGCACCAAGCTTGGATTGAGTCTCCAGACCGAATGGGTTTAAGGACATGTCCCACTGCTGAATCTCCATGGCACACCCTCATAGGATACCAAAGCCGGATTCCTGCTCGATTGTTTTGTCAGTGAAGAAGCAATTCACCTATCCAAACCATGCACCAGACACACAGGAATCAAAACCCTCCGCAAAAATTGGCAACGAAGAAGGATCAGCATCGCAAAGAGAGAGAGAGAGAGAGAGAGCGAAAGAGGACCGGAAGCTAGCGCCTGCAACTAATGTGCGTATACATATATATATATATATATATGTATATATATATATGTATATATATATATATGTGGGAGCCAAAGACAAACACAAGCCAAATATCAGATAAACAACAACACACAACATAGAAACATACTTTAATATGAGGGTCAACACTTGTAGAATGTGGCTGTGTTTACTTTCAAATTGAGTCCTGATCACAGCTGGAAACCAGACATGAAACAACATATGGGTGTGGCTCAAAAATCAAGAGCTAGGGTTAGTTTTAGTCTCTGGTTCCATTTACCAAGGTGCCATGTTGGTACATGTATTTGAGCCACAGCCCTATATCAACCATTTTACTAGAGGGGACTGGACGACCCCGAATCGACCCCGCCTCCCTTAACGCCGCAGCGCCGGTGGATCCCGATGTGGGGAAGGCCAACACGGTGGCGTGGCCCTGTGGCGTGGCGTGGCCCTGGCCTTTGGTTCCATGGCCCTTTGTGAAAGGAAAGCTGGACGGCGTGGCCCTGCTTACTGTATCACTGTGATAAAGGGGCGATGGGGTCTGCAATCGTGTCTTGGTTCTGCTGTTTAACTGTGGTTGCTTTATTTGGCGTTCTAGAGTTCTCCAAAACGCTCCATGGCGTCCGCTACTGTTTGAAAGACGGAATCAGCCCGATTTACCCAGAACAGGCAAATATCTACACCCATTTATGGTTCGACTGTCCCTAACTTTCACTTTCCCGGTTTTTATTCTGACTCATCCGAAATGGAACTCGCGTTGGAAGCTAACGCCCAGGCTCCTGGCAAACAGGTTGAATCGACTGGCGTTACTGCCAACGAGCTTTGGACCCTGCCCGCATCCACCAGTCACCCTGTAAGGCCGCTTCAGTGGGTGATCAAAAGGCCTGCCCCATGGTAGCAGACAGAGTTCATGGTAAACAAAGCTCCCTCTTGAAAACGAAGACCCGTTGCTGGATGTGAAAAGCCGACCCGCAGGAACCTGGAATGCTGGTGAGTTCAAAGAAATTGACCACCCTTCGACCCTTCGCCCTTCAGACCAAAAAGTAAAGCTGGTGCTGTAAGTTGGGCGGGGGGTGGGGGGGGGGGGCAGAGAATTCGGCATCTTCCAAAAGGATGCAATGTTTGAAGGTGACAAGTCGTTCCGGACAAAGCCTCGATATGGTGCTTTCCTTCCAGTGGAAGACCTTGCGACACTTTCTCGCGGCACTTGCACAGGAGACTCTGAGCAGACTAGCAGCCTGGGACCTTGGCCCAATCTTCTCCCAAATGTGAGCCACCACTCTCTTCATCTCAGAGCAATTCAACCCCTGGGATGAGCGTCATCCAAGATTGAGCAACATCGCCAATGGTGGCCATTCCCCTCCTGAAAACCCATGAGTACTAAACAAAACCAAGGAATATATCTATATATATGCACCACTTGTCGGGCCGGCAGGAGGCCCCGTGTCAACCGGGAAACATGTGACATGTATCCTGGTGAATGCTCAACCCAAAACGCAGGACTCAACCATATGCTCGTCAATATGGTCATCATTATCATCATTATCAACATGATAATAGTCAAGGAACAAGATGCAACATGTCGCCAAACATTGACCCAAGCAAAGCCCTGGGAATAAACAAAAAAGTTAAATTGACCTGTTGGGACCCCATTTCCAGGTTTACCTAAAACAGTTCAAAAGGTTGAATGTGAAGGAGCCCAAACCTCTGGTTACAAAGGAAATCAAAGGGAACTCATATTGAAACTAGTTGCTTCATTTTGGAGGGAAACAAAATCCACCACTCGGCCAAACAACCGGAATCCCTTACACACAAAACACTTTTGGGTCACACCAGAGATCCTGAAAGGATACATCCAAAAATATCCAAAAGCCACCGCTTTACCAGGGGATCCAGCAACTCCCTCCTCCAGACGCAAGCGGCCTCGCGCCTCGCGGAGGCGCAGATGCCGGCCGCTGCTCTTGGCCATCTGAGGGCAGCTCCCGACCTCGAGCGTGGAACATGTCAAAAGAGAATGGCAGTCGCGCAGCCCAAATTCCTGGAAACAAAGGGCAAGCTCCAAGGGGTGTTTCGCCAAGCAGCAAGTTGTTTGCTACCATGGCTATAACCCAAGAAACAGCTCCCCTGAATTGAGCTCGCTGTTGTAAGTGTGTTGTAACCCAGTCTAACCTCCTCACTTTGCCGAACGTTCAAGTAGCCGCTGTCCCCTGTTTCCGCAAAACACGCCCAAACAAAGCCTTTTCAGGCTTTGTTTGGGGAAACAAGGGGTTTAGGGCAGGGTTGGAAGTGTGGACAAACAAAATCCTGTACGAGTTGGCAGGTAGTTTGCCCGCGTTTCTATGGTAACTGGTGACTGCTGCAGGTTATTGTCTATCCACAGTATGAAGAGTATGCAACAGCCCTTTCCAAGGCTTTAGCCCACACCACCAGGCCCGACTTCATCTCCGCCGGCAATGACCTCACTGCGGGTGGAAAAGGGGCAAGGAACCCACAAGCCCTGATTTGTTGAGAAATGTGTCTAGAAGGCGCAGATCAACGCAAGAAACCCACAAAATCCCTTGAGGAATCGCTTTTCGGGCAACCCCCTTTTTGGGGTGCGGGAAAAAGCGGGGCAGCAGCTTCGCTCCAGAAAGCTCGAGTTGAAGGCTCTTGTGACCAGGCACAACCTGAACGCTGCTCCTATTTTCCTCCTTCTTCACTGGCCATGGAACCAACAAGCGCCCGAGGATCATGTTGTCCGTGACCATCCCCTTCAAGTTCCCGCAGCCCAACTGCTCAACTGTCTCAACTCGGCCAGGAACGGTCCTCTAGTTAATTGCCAAGAATATGTGTCATTCTCTTGAGGACGTTATTGGAGGCTTTGATGGAGATGGTCTCAGTGTAGGAAGGAACCCACCTGCGGTTCTTTGTCCCACCTTGCTTTATGTACTCTACAATAAGGCTTCTCTTCTCAGCAGACTTTCATGGTACTCACGGGGTTGAACATTAATTAGCACACATACATTGGCAAGTCAATGTGGCCGTGAAACCAAACAACAATTTATCAAAGAATCAAATGTGCGTGACCCGGTGCCACAGAAATTGGGCCAACCCCCATTCACTTCCCAAGGCATGAAGAAGATGCGCGCACACATCTGCATGTCTAGAATCAAGTACGCATACCTTCTCATGGTTGAGCGGTCTGGGCCAGGGTTGGACCAGAGTTGGACCAGGGTTGGACCAGCAGTGGTTTAAACATGTTTGTCGTGAGCAACTTCCTTTTACTCTTGCTTTGAAGGGGCCCAGGGTCTGGTTGTTGAAACAAACTGCTCTGGTCAACGCAAAGCTCCAACACACACACACACACACACATAAAATCAAGTTGCTCAACTCATGACTTTCGTTCAACGCTTGCAAGGTGCACCCATGTCTGAACCTTCTTGGTGGACTGGAAAGCCGTTGGGCAGAAACAAACGGATTCATCTTTGGAAGCAAATCCAGAACCATCTGAATTTAAACAACAACTGCAGGGGGCACCAGAACCATCTCTGACTGTACCAAAGGACCTCGCTATGAAGCTTCACTTCCTGACTGTTTGACCACCAGCAAGTCCCTTTCTGTGCTTGCGACTAGCACGGCCTCCCCAAAAAGCATGAAGTTCAGAAACTCCAGTTGGTGAGAAAGACTTCACCTCTTGTGGCCACCAATAATTAAATACCATTGACCCAGTGGGTGTTCAACTTATCTGCCCATGCATCTTAATGAGGAACACCTTCAAACAGGTGAGTTGCATAAATCCCCGTGCAAATGTCCACGGGTCCATGTCCGCTGAAAAGTCGTACTGGGAACCCCAAAGGCCGTACAAAGTTGAAGCTTTAGGGGATTTGGAGCAGGGACGTTGTTTTGCCTGGAAACAACGCGATCTTTTTGCAGTGCTTTCCCCCACGTTTTCCAATCAGGTGTTTCTGACACGGTTGCCTCAACACCACATCAAGCCGCAAGGCTTTAGTTAGATTCTGGGTCGACATTTTCCTAGCTTGCTTCGCGGCGAGCTCACCTGTGGGAAAAATAAACAAGCTGCCTTACTTTGGGATCTTATTTCAGTGTTTGAAAGGTTTTGGAGTTCTGGTAAAGCATTCAGACTATATGGAAATGTCCCATTTGGGTGTGACCGGAAAGTTCTTTCTAGCCGGGATGGCCCTCCAGGTGGTTGTGGGCTCAGACGGCCAATGAACGTTGATCTGGTTAACTCTCTTTGTGGCTTGCCTGAAGAAACATAGCCAGCGAGCCACAGGATTCCGTGTACTCGTAGCCCTAGCCGAACACCTCACTTGGTGCCGCTCCGAGTTGGTGAAGCGGCGAGGCTCGTCTGATCAGCTGTCCTTAGGGGTGGAAGAGGGATGGCCTTTGCATCCTCCGATGGGAATCAACAAAAGCCAAAGGCCGTCTATGTAACACCGAAGGAGTGGCGAGGCTGGATATTGATTCTGGCTAGGACTCTTGCGGCTGGGATATGGTTGTGATATCAGCGTGGCTGATTCCAACGATTACTTTGTCACTTTGAAGGGGATTCCCTTGGAAAAACAGACAGTGGCCTTGGGTTCGAATGTTGCACAACCAGGGTGGAAAGGGTCGAGAAACTAAAAACAATGCTGTTGCTGAGGATCCCGCCACCCACTTTGGACAATCTTCCACGTTAGGGTTGCAACAAAAGATTGCTGCGTTCAGAAGAAGGCACAACGGATACGTGTGTTCACAAATAATACACCACTGTCGTGTTGTCGGGAGGGGCCGCATTCATCTGTGGAGCGGTACTTTGCGGCCCATGGGCCACTCATTGGAGATCTTATATGTCCATTCGCTTCCACTTGAACTTTGGGCCGGCTGACTTAAGCTGAGCCCCCATTTGGGGGAGTTGTTTACATGGGACCTATGCTTGGGCGTTCAAGGCACTTAGTAAGTAGCCCTACCGATGTGGAATACTGGTGATTGACCCCTTACCATAGTTGTAACTAAGTGGGTTGACCACCCAGTAATGCTCCACTACTTCCCCTCATGACCTTTAAAGAGCTTGCTTCCGTATTACGGACACTCAATGAAGGTATAGCTCTGCGCAACAATAAGATGAAGAACAAATGAATAAGCGCATGCGGAACAACATGCGCGGGCATGTGGAGCAGGAATCGGCAAGAAGAGCAACTCTGCGGCTTTCGCTTCTTCGGCTTCCGGCTGGCTGAAAGCTGCCCGGTCGTGATGCCTCTCGAAACGGTCTCGGAACCTGCACGGGACGGTCTCGGAGCGTTGATAAGGATGCGTGCGCTTTTGGCGACGGCGACATGAGTTTGCATGACACCTGCAGCACTTCGGCAACCTGTGAAGCACAGATTGCATGGCAGACGCAGCGCTTCGATTAATTTGCGCTCAGATTTCGTGACAGGCGCACCACTTTGGCACTACTTTGGCAGAGATAAGAAAGAGAAAGAGACAGAGAAAGTGAAAGACGATAAAGAAAAAAAACTAAGAGAGCAAATAAAGAGAAAGAGACATATTCTAGAATAAAACAAAGACTATTTTTGAACCAAAACAAAAAAACTACATAGTTGAGAAAAAGAGGAAAATTACTTTCAAATGAGGATAACCAAGGGAAAGATAAAGAGAAAGAGAAGGAAAAGCAAGAGACAGAAGAGGAAGAGAAAGAAGATAAATATGAAGATACTAAAGATAAACACATATGAACACGAGTAAGATAAAGCACAGTAAATATGAGAAAGAAGAAAGAAGAGACACAGAGAGAGAGAGAGAGATAAAAAGATGAAAATATAGAAAAGGAATACAAAACAAATACGGCAAACACACAGATACATATAAAGAGAGCGAGAAAGCATAGAAGAGAGAGAGAGAGAGAGAGCAATCAGATAAAGACAATGAAGGGTAACATAACGAATACATAGGACCAAAATAAAGAGAGAGAGGGAGAGAGAGATGAAGAAAAACAACAACGACACATAACTATAGAGGAAGAGGAAGGGCTGGTCAAAAGAAATGATATAAATATAGATAAGGTAACAAAACACAAAAGAAGAAAACAAAACACGTAAACATAGAGGGCTATGTAAAGAGAAGACAACACAACAAAGACAACAGAAAAGATAAACATAAATACACATCGGACTAACATGCTTAAAAATTCCGCACCCCGGCTCCGCCGTCTTTACTAAGCAGGTTGAACACCCAAGAAGGTACCTAGATTTTTTGGGATCGTTCAGCCTTCTGTTGAAAATTATGTTTTTACCCACCACAGTTGGCCAACCCTTGTCATCTAAGCTTGGCGGGTCTCAGCAAAGGAACTGACCCCAACCTGAAGGGTCCCGAACGTTTCATGCAAACCCAAAATGGATTCCTTACTAAGCACCAAGTCTGAGAAAGTTCTTAGAGCCCTTCCTGGGGGGTTGGGAGTCCTTTGCTTTCCGCCCAATGAAATAAGGGGAGCCGTGTAACTGGAAATTCAGTCGTTTAAGTTTGGGCGACTTCATTGGGTTTGATCGCAAATGGGTTCTGTTCGGATGCGAAAATTGATTGCCCTCTGGTAGCGATCAGCATCGATTCGTTTCTTAGAACCCGTGAAACTCGTGTGATCATCGCGCCTTTGGATGGTTCCAAACAGGTCCCTATATTTCCAGCCTAAAACATCACCGCTACCAAGGGAAACTCACCAAGCAAGAGGCGATGTTCAAAACCGAATAAACATGATTATGTATATATATATATATATTGTAGGGGTAACGTTTTGTTGAGGGTGCCCTTTCCGGGTTGTACGGTAGGACAAGAAAACACCTAGTTTTAGGGATCCCTATTTTTAAGACACACCCTGACTGTGCCATGCCACTGACAGAGCTGGGCATTGGACTCAATTCGTTCACGAGGCTCGGGCCACTTTTGTGGTGGCAGCCGAGCCAGGGAGGGACGCAACCTGGGAGCTGAGGGCAGCGGGTTGCCCCCTTGCTTTTTGACCTCCACTTCACCTTGCGGATTCTGGGCCCCAAAACCGGTTTGAGATCGAAAAACGGATCCCGTGGGTCAACATGGTTGGTTTCCTTTTGTCTTCCCGTTGAATCCAACCCAAAGGGGGCCTCACTCCACAAAAAGGCACACAAACACTAATTTGCTAGGTTCTCTGAGCACTTTTTTGTGGGATGGGCACAGGGCTTTTGTGAAGGTACCCATTTCAATACTTTAAGGATAATGGTCCCAAACAACAGGTTGGGGGTCGAAAACAAAAGGGTCCTGGCGGGCATTGTCCCCCACCCCCTATTGGGTGCTTGATTTGTGTGGTGTGGAGGTTTAGGGGTGTCTTGGCCATTCTGGCGTGGCCCAAAAATTCGGGCCCGAAATGAAACCACGACAAGTGGACAAGTCCAAAACCCAAGGTCCAGCTCTCAATCTTTTTGAGCCACGCCCATTTGGCTTCATTTTGAAGGGTTCACATCCACATCCCATCGAAGGCGTGACTTGGTTTCTCAGAACTCCATCGGGACTGAGACCTCCCGCGGCTGAAGGCCCAGCGACACGGCCTCCTGCACCTGGAGGTTCGAGCCTGGGCTGTTCCGCTCGCCGAAAGCCGCGCGCCCCCCAAAAAAGGGCGTCGGCACAGCGCAACATGTCTCAAAATAATGCTCGAAAGTTTCGAACTGGAGATATTTGGTGATATCTATCACAGGCATCTGAACATATCTTAAAACAAGTTGGTCGAAAGCTTGTAACTGCTTGTGCCCAGCGTGTCCCAAGGGGAAACGCCCTGTGTTTGGTTGATTTTGAAGCAAACATTACACCCGCGTCGATGTCCACAGTTCTTGCACAGCGACCAAGCCAATCCCCGCAAAGGCGTCGTTTTGGCACAGTGGGTGTGGCCGCACGGCGCCTTACAAATAAATATTTTAGTCTCGCGCAGAGGTTTTCTCGCGCAAGTGTGCTCACGCGAGTTTGCTCGCGCAAGTGAAAGTGCGCTCTTGCGAGTGTGCTACAAAGTTCTTGAAGTGGCCAAAGGTGGGCGTCACGTTATTTACCGTTGTGGTCCTTTGCGATGGGTGCGTGTAGAAATGCTGTCGTCGTGACATGTGTAGTGCGAGAAGTGCCCGTAGTGTAGTGAACATTGGTGTAGAGGCGTACACGGAGTCTTCGCCCTCAATCTTCCCAGTGTAGACTTTTGCGACGTTTCGGCTTTGGACCCATCTGATGTCCAGTAGTTGTGTTTTGTCGTAACCTTCGTTGTCGAAAATACAAGGTTGGTGTTTGGAGGTGTTGTCGTTTGTGTGGGGTGTGATGGATGTTTCGTTGGGAAATGTCACTGCGTTGTTTTTGGGTCGTAGCATTGGTTGTGGCTCTTTGGTTGCTTGTTCCGTTGATCTGATTGTAGTGTCCTTTGAAGTTGTCTGTGCTTTGGTTGTATGCATTTCATCTTCCAGAGTCAGGCGTCTCAGTGTTTGTCGAGGTGGTGCTGGTAGTGGGGGCGTGATAGTGCTTCGCGTACTCTCTCGTGCAACTTGCTCCGCATTGGCTCTCTTGCGTCTCGCGCTGCGCTCGACATGTGCTCTCGTGTCTCTTGCTTTCATGGGCTCTCGTGTGTCTTGCTGCCCTGTGGCCGCGGGAAACACGGCGATTTTAAAGAGACCCCCCTCAAAAAAAGGACCACTGGGCCGCACGAGCAACTGCCTCTTTTGCAGCGCCCTCTAGGGCCAGAACAGGAACCCAGCGACCACTGCATGCTTGGAACATCAAAATGACTCTCCCCCATATGGCGCCTGAATCCGTAACGCAAGTAGGGAACCAGGGAACCTATGTGAGCGCTTACCACAGCTTGCGGTTGGTGAATGCTTGCAAAGGTGTATAGCACTCAAGGAGCTCACAGCAGGTTCCTTCTTCGAATCAGCATTCTCAATGCCGAATCCTTCCTTTCCCGCCTGGCCAACAAAACAAGCAAATTACTGTTTCACCACCGACCTTTTGGCGGGCACCAACGCACCCCTGCCATACGGGCCGAGGGCTCGACGTTGAGGTTTACATTCTGAATGAGTACTCAAAAGAAGTACCCTCGTAAACCTCGTGTTTCAGCCTACCAAAGTGCCCATCTTGGGAGAACAAATCCAAAACTCAACTCCCCAAAGAACCCAGCATACAAAAACCTTGTGCGACCAAAAGGCCAAGAGGTTCACTTTGGGGAAGAGAGAACAAGGTGCTTGAACCCTAGCCATCTCGGATCTTAGGCTCCCGGCGGTCGAAGTTTCTGAGAGGCTGACCCTGGCCATGAGAAATCCATCTTCTGTCCTAGACCCTTCAAGGTTGCGATTTTGGATGACGAAATGGGCCCCACCTTTTCCAGCAGTTTTTTGTAGTTCGAATGTGGCAAAACACAAGTTTGTCCCTTTCTGACAACAAGCTTTCCCGCCAAGGGTGGTGTTAGACAAAAAAGGAAGCCAATTTGTCCAATCAGATCTATTATTTATATACATTGGTGAGGATACGCCCACCTTCGAACTCATCCAAACTCGGCTATATGTTCTCAGTGGGAAAATGGCGGAAGCCAAGAAAAGGTCACCAAAAGCCCTTGCTGTTTGGCTACCCCTCTTGTAGGCAACCAACATAAGACTAAAAAGCGATCTTTGTTTACTGACAAGCAGCTGTCAACACTTCGCTTCGCTTAAGAACAAGATGGGCTTTTCTTGGTCCAACCCCAGGGTGCCAGCTACGGCAAGCCGAGAGATGCGTAAGACTTCAGAAGGATCAAACAGTTAATGAGACCATCTGCCTTGCGCACTAGGAATCATTTACTTTGTGGCCATATGTGAGAACTAATATCTGGGATGTTGAAGGGGAAAGACAAGGGGGCCCACTGTGTGAGCATCCAATTAGATTCGGAGCATGTCCAACTGCTATTTGATCAGCACAGAATAGCACAGAGATGGGCACGAACTGTTCGAAACTATGATGTGCGCCACCAATCTTGACAAGGGGTTGCCCACTCATGTAGAAGATATGCCAAACACTTTCTTGCTAGTAAAAGGGAATACGTTGGAACATATACATTCCACTAGGCGGGTCCAGGTCCGAGACTGCTTGCCCCAGCAAGGCGATGTCAAATTAGAACCTTACGCGAGTCTACTATTGAGAGCAGGTCCTGAAAGGTCCACCTTGACGAATCAAAAAACAACACATCGCACAGGTCGCTTACGGTGTGAAGAAAAGACACAAACATATCACAGGTCCTGGTTCTGTTCCAGCTGTGAAGCCTTGAGGTGTCCTTTGCGCCGGCCTTTCTTCAGAGCCGTTGCAATGCCGCCGAGCCCCGGCCTGCATCCAGCAACCCTTGGGCACTTTGTTGGGCATCTGCCAGCGGGCAGGCAGGCTGGGCCTCGGATGACTTGTTTTGTCACCGGAAAACTGAGTGAAGTGGGCAGTTTGGACTATCCACTTGGGCGTGTCGAATTTTTTGGGGACCCACAAAATGAAGGAATCTTCTTTTGGTTTCCCTTTTAAGGCCGACCAAAATGGGGGTCCTCTTGGCTTTTCCTCGGATTGGCCAGGTGGCCCAAACAGAAAGCATGTCCTTTCG